GGACCAAGACCGACGAGCGCCGCACCGCAAGCACCACAGCCCTCATGCCGTTGACGAAGTTATGCTCCTTCTGCACGTTCCGAGTAAGGGTCACGCGCATGCCCACATAGATAGGGAGCTGAAGCGGCAGACAATCCACGAGCTGGCCGCAGCTGTCGTAATTGTCCACGTTGCTTTCGTAGTCGCCGGGCACGAAGCAAAGCGGCTCGGCATCTCCGTAGAGGGCCCGGACGGCGAGGTCGTTGAGCAAGGCGGAATTGCGGCGGGTGATGGTGAGGAACAAGGTTTGCGGTGTCTCCTGCAAGATGCCTTGGACGTCCAGCTCCGTCGGTTCGGGGCTCACCCCGGGGCCGCGATCCGGCATGGCCCGATGCCCGCGCAGGAGGCGCAGCAGCTGCTCCTTGGACGGCTTGGTGGTGCGAAGAAGCTCCAGCTTCCAGCGCAACTCTGGACATTTGCACCGCCGCATCGTCTGCAGATGCCGCTTGACCACGTGGTGCCAGCGAGGGCTGTCAGAAGCCCTGGTAGGATCCATGCCGCGCAGCTGGTGAAAGTCTCCAACGAACACCAGGGCCGGGCGGCGTTCGGCATTGTCCCAGAGCCAGAGGATGCGTTCGAAGGTGGTGCGGGAAAGTTGGCCCACTTCGTCGATGACGACCAAGTCAAAGCTCGCCATGCAGTCCCAGGTCTGCTCCTGGGGAAGATGCAACAAGAACATGCCGTGTAAGGTGTCGACATCAAGACCCGGGAACTTCTCGCGATAAGCGCTCGCGAGCACGCCGGTGGGACAAGCAATTCCAATGTGGGCGCCGGCTTCCGCGGCACGACGGATGGCCACCTCCAGCGCGGTGCTCTTGCCAGACCCAGCGGGCCCTAAAACGCAGAAGGGCTGCAGGACCTGCGGCGGCGACCGGCGCGTTCGGTCCAGGAAGTCGTGCAGCTCGTGTGGGTTTGCCTCTTCGGGGTAACGGCGCTCGAGTGCCCAGTGGAGCATCTGCCGCACATGCTCCACCACAACCGCTTGCTCGGGATCCAGCTCTCCACGGTAACCGACTTCGGGGGCGGCGAGAAGCTCTGGCTGAGGAGGCAGGTCCACGTCAAGCACCAGGTGGCCGGAGAGATAAGCATCAACGACAGCGGTGCGACTCTCCAGCATGCTGAGGACGTTGCAGATGTGCGCGTCTTTGCGGCCTTCCAACTGCAGGTCACGTTCGACGTCGTGAGGACGACGCCAGTAGCCGGGACGATGTAGCAGGCAGAGCGCCAGCAGACGATACCCCTCCGGCACCGCGGCCACCCGATCATCCCACAGTTCTTCAAGCGAGCGAAAAGGCACGTTGAGCACGAGCCACTGCCCGAAGTAGCTGTCCCGCAAGGGCGAGTGGAGTGTCGCGGCCACGAGAACGCGGCGCTTGTTCTTCCGCTTCTCACCCGCTTGGTTGCAGTGGCGCAGGTACTCCAGGAAGGTGCAGCTCTCGGAGCGCCAGGTGCAGGCCATGTAGAGGGACTCCCAGCGGCTTGGAGGACAGCCGTCCCAAGGTGGGCGCACGACCACGCGGCGCAGCACGCCGGTTTGGAGCACCTGTCGAAACTGCTGGCCGGCGAGTTGAAGCCACATCTCGGGCTCCAGAGGGTGGTACTCCATCAGCACTTTCCGCGCCAGCTGGAAGTCTGTGGCTTCCTCGTTCAACCAGCTGGTGGCGAATTGGTCACTGAACTTCGCCGTGTAAGTAGAGGCATATTGGAGCAACAAACCGCGACCATCGCCCATTTGCACGTCCATGTGACACTGTAGTGCCCCGAGAACGTCTGGCAGGTAGGCGCGGACATGCGCAGCGTGTGCGTCCGCCGGATGATGGAGGTGCAAGATACCAGCGTCCTTGTCGAAGACCGTGGGACCGTCCCGACGCGGCCAGGCGCTGTCGTCCCAGTCGAGTTGGGAACCACGGACCAGGTCGTGCAGCTCAGGTTCTGTCGTGGCATCCGGAATATCTGCACGCAGAAGGCGAGGCCAGTCCAGGCTGTCGGCGTCCCGGAGCCAAAGCAAGAGATGCAAGTGCACGCGCCCGGAACCGTGATAGGACTGGCTCGGGCCCACGTGGCGTTTCCGTTTGCCATCTTGAAATTCCAGACGGCCGAAAACTTCCACCACGGTGCTGCGCGCAGAGTCGGAGCCGGCCAAGACGTGCCGATCCCATCGTCGCCGTGCCTGAGCCGCTTGCTGCCGATTAGTCCCAGCTAGGAGGCCTTCGGCGATCTGAAAAAGCAGGTGGGCAAGGTGGAAGGTCTCGGCGGCCGGGAGGTCTGTGCGGCAGCGACAGGCCTTGAGAAGTTCGTCTTGAAGCCAGCGATGGTAAGGTGCCGAAATTTCCAAGGGGGCCACGGTCACGAACATGGATGGAAAGCCGATCTGGCGAGCACAATCTACCAGGCCGGCGTGGATGTTTTGCCAATAAAGTGGTGAGAAGCTTCGCCCGGCCAGAGCACCGCGCAGAGTTGTCGGCGCTGCATTGCGAGCGCCACCGAGAGAGCTCCACAGCCAGAGATCGTACACGAAGTGGGCAAGGTCGCGATTCGTGCCGTAGCCGATCACAGCCGAGAAGACCTTCGCGACGAAGCTTGCCTTGGCGCTCTGGCGCGTGGCATGGGAGTCCTCCCATTCGGATTCGTCCTCCTCAGCACTGGGAGCGTCGAAGCATTCCTGCTCCTGTGGGCTTCGAGCAGATGGCTCCACCATGGCGACGTCGTCCTCCGGGTTGTTTTCCAACGGAGTTACTCGGGACAAGCGCCGAGCGTCCATGCTGCGGACGTACGTTTCGCACATGGTTCGATCCCAATAGAGGTGGGGCCAAATGGCAGACTCCAGTCCGATCGTTTCCATGAAGCGAAGTGGCAGCCATGCTACCGGGGTTGCAGCCTCCAATTCGCCCTGGTCTAGAAGACGTTGCCGGTTCATCATGGCAGCTCAAGAAATCCCGGTAAGGGCAAGCCTCGGCGGCGATCAACCACTCGTAGGCAGCGCGCCCGCGGCGCCAGGCTTGGCGCGGAAGGGCGCTCAGACGCTCTTCCACAGGTGTTGGCTTCCAGCTGAAGCGCACACAACTGGTGTGCACCCAATAGCCCTGGGGGGCCCTTTCGGCCGGGCCCGAGTAAACGTCCAGAAGAGCGAGTGCTGCCAGAACCTCCTCGGGCAATTGTCGCAAAGGTCCAGGGACGTCCGCAGGTCGCGGCACCCAGTACCCGACGCCGGCAGCGCAGTGTCCGCAAGCCGGCAGGGTCGGTTGCAGGCGCGCGGAGGAGCCGAGGTGCTTGGGCTCGAACCGCTGCGGCACCATGCGGTCACATTGGCGGCAGAGGCGCCAGGACCAGTTGTGCGCGAAGCCCGAGAAGGCCTTTGCCAAGTCCGTTTGCCATGCTTCGGCCGGTCGCCCATCCGCCCGGTACACGGCAGGAAATTTGCGTTGCAGTGCACGCAGCTGGCTGGCCCGGCCGCGCTCATGTGCGGTCACGGTCTCCGTGGACGGAGCAAATTGCGCTTGGCGGGCCTCCAGAAGCGAAGCCCAATCTGCAGGATCTTCTCCTCGACGTTGAGCACGAGCTTTGGCTTGCTGCTGCGCGCGCGAACTCCGCTCCCGCGCCGTCGCCCCACGTTGTTGCAAGTATCTCTGCAGACGCTGGTCGCAGTCGGTCCAGCTCGCGGCACCAGCCAAGCTTTGAATCCGCTGTACAGCCTGGGGGAAGATGTGCTCCGGGCTATGTTCCCAAAAGAAAGCCAGGGCGACGGTGATGACTCCCCTGCCCCGAGGATTGGCCAACCGCTCGCCCAGCAATTGCTCCGAACAGAAGAAGCAGGATGCTTGCTCACGACACGGGTGGACCCGGGCTGGTTGGCCCAAGGTAGTCGTCGAAAAGATGCAGGTTTCTCGCTCCCGACCAGCGCCCGCGAGGCCGCTGCAGCGCTCCGCGGCCATGCGCCCCATTCGCCGTTCTTGGCGGCCAGCGAGTTGGTATGGGGCGTCTGAGTTGAAAAAGCTTGCAAAAGCTCACCTATCCAAGTAGGGCACATCCAAGTCGGTTATACCTAGAGCCGGTCAGGCCAGGGTGCATGGGAGCGCTGCACGCACTTCTTTCACGAGCAGCGCTGAAGTCGGACGGTCAGACACACGGGAAAACACGCTGCACAGCTGCTATCTGTCGCGGCGTCCAGAGACGTTTCTACTCAGACATGAGAAGTTGCTCGCAAGACAGGCGCGCGTCCCTAGGACCTAGCTGTAACGGGACCCCGGAGTCAGGCCCGGCAGCAGCATGTTTCAGCGACAGTCTTGTAGCCATCCTAGTCCACGCCGCGGTGATACGGTCCGCGCGGCCCACGCCGCGGACGAGCCGGGTCCCGGCGGCGCAATGCCCGCGCGCAGCGCGCCTCCATGTCGGAGCGGGCGGCAGCGCCCAAAGCGTCCTCGACGCGCGCCAGCGCCGCCTGCCGGCCAGGGTCGTCGAGAGCCAGGAGCAGGTGGGTCAGGACGCCGTCCTGCCGGTCACCGTAGAGAGTCTGCAGAATGGGAAAGTCGCAAAAGTTGCATTGTCGCGACTCGGCGTCCACAGCAGGGAGGGCGCCGCCTGCAGGTCCACAGGCGCACGGGCTGTCAAGCCGTCCGAGGCAAGGATGACCTCCGTCGAAACAGAAGGGGTTCCATTTGAGGCGCAAGGCCCACCCGCGTTCGGGATCGATGGGATCAGGCGGCGGAGGCACAGCCATGGCGAAGAGGAAGCCCGGTCGACGCGCGAGAGAGCTATGGACAGCAGTTCCGGCTGCGGCATCCGTGTCAAAGTTTTGACGGCCATGCAACAGGTTGCGTGCCGTTGCAAGGACAGCAAGCAGACTCGGACTTTTTTTTGCGAGCGGGCGAGGACTGTAATGCCGCAGCGATCAGCAGTACATTGCTGACGGAAGGACTGAAACTATTCACATGCCGCCAGACATTGCGGTCTGGCCGCCGACTCTAGCCGCCCTTGCGGACCAAGGCCACCTCGCCGTACAACTCGGCAGGGGTGGTGGCAGCGGAGATCGTGTGCATCACGCCGTCTTCGCCGAGCATGTAGACATTCCAGTTGCCCACATCGGCCTCGCTGCCTTGCGCTTTGAACAGACGCCCCACGGCGTCCTCGACGGTCTCGTTTGCCTCAAGCTCCACAGTCTCCTTCAAGTCCGTGTCATGCACGATCATCCTGCCGTCTGCATTGACTCCTGTGGGGCGGCGAATGGTCAGGACACCATTGGGAGGTTTCAGGGCTGGCGCAGCGGCGGGTTTCTTCGAGGACGACGAGGACGACGATGCCGATGACGACGGAGAGGAAGCACGAGCGCGCTTCTTCTTGTCCTTCTTCTTGGATTTCTTGTCCGCCTTGTCCTTCTTGCTCTTCTTGGCCTTCTTGCTCCTCTTCTTCTTCTTGGCCTTTTTGTCGGAACTGGAAGAGGACGACTCAGTGTGCGAGGGGGCCGAGTCCACGCCGACGCCAGGACCTGCAGCGTCATCCGAGTCGTCTCCACGCACATCTCCGGTGCGCTTCCAGGCGCCTTCGGATCTCTTGCGAGCTTGGTATGCCTCGACGAGAAAGGCTCCTGCGCTGGCGGGGTCAGGCGTTCGGGTCTTGAACTTGTCCAGCGCCTTCTGGATGAACTGGTCCACCGGGATTTGGCCTGCCCAAGCGGCCAGGGCGTCCGCTTTGACGAGAGCGTCGAGCGCATGGAGGGCGCCGACATAGAGGCAGGCACCGTGCGCTGCGAGAGTGGGCAGGTGCTCGTAGAGGAGCTTCTTGTGAGCCTTGTAGAAGGCAAAGACGTCGGTGAAGGCTGTCTCATGTGACTTGGGGTCCGCCTTGGCCTTTTCAAAGTCCAAACTTTGCAAGTGATCAAGGAACTCCTTGCCAGTAGCGGTGGCGAAAAGGGCAGTGAGCTTCGTTACCGCCGCCTTGGATTTGTCGTCGAGCAAGCGGTCGCCCAGGGTCCGCACGGAGGTTGCCATCATCGAAAAGCCATAGGCGGGACGCCGCGAGAGTTCCGAGGTGTCCGCGTTCAGCAAGGATCGCAGGGATTGCTTGGACAAGAGCTCGATGTCGTTGTCGTCGGAGTAGAGGAAGCTGCCAGAGGCGGAAGCGTAGGGTCGCAACAATTTCTTGACCATCAACTCCCGGCTTAGAAGGCGCCGCTTGGCCCCGTGCGGCTCCTCTGCTTCCGCGGGGGCCGACCAGGACATCCAATCTCCTTGCTCGTAGGCAGAGTAGCCCTTGCCTTTCCCGCGACCCGCCGGCGCGTCGTAGCCCCAGCCACTGCCTTTGCCTTTGTTGGCAGCACTCCAAGCGCCGCTGCCCCAGCTGCCTTTCTTGCCTTTACCAAAGCTGCCACGGGCGCCGAACATGGCGACGAAGCGAGAAGAACAGATGCTAGAATGAAGCTGCTACAAGAACAGGTCGTGCGAGCTCGAGCACGCGATGCAAGCGAGAGCGATGATAGACTTCCTAGCAGGCCAAACGAAGATCTGGGTCCGAAGCGTGTTTCGGATGTGCAAAGAATCAGAGGACGTCATTTGTGCGCACTTTTCGCACGGAAGCGCCATCTGTGCGGTGAGGGACCTAGGACCTACGAGAAAGCTCAGGTGCGGCGAGCTCGCTTCCGGGTAGTCTCCGTCAATGAGGCAGATGCTGGCGCTGGCTGTGCAAGGCGAACCCACTTGACAGCGCCGCGGGGATGAGTGTAAGGGACCGGCTTGGGATACCAGCGAGGATCGTCCATAACCCATGCCCACCACCGCCGGTAGTCGAAACCTTGAAAATCCGTGGGAGTCAGTCCATGTTTGTCGAGGTTGTTGGGCAAGAAGGGGAAGTCTTCATGACGCCCAGCCGCAACCAAAGTTCCGCCAGCATCTCGGCAGGCGACCAAGCGACAATCGATCAGGTCGGCTTCGCCGTAGAGCAAGCCGGTGCCGGCGCAGGCGAGCGCCACGCGGCCGCGGCGGTGGCAGGCCTCGCCGCGCATCTCCCAAATCTTCTGCCCGTCGAGAATCATCGACACCCAAGGCTGCCGCACAAGCAGCGCAACCTCCGGCAACGGGGTCGTAGAGGCGGAAGAAGCGGCCATGCGAGCAAGCAGGAATGATACGACTTACTCGTGGACGTTAAGCTGACAATGGCTATCGCATAGAGCAGCATGTGCACATCGGACATGCTCAGCCAAGGCAAGCGGCGAACAAGCAAACACCTAGCCTCGATCGTTTTACGCGGCAGTCTGCGGGATGTGCAGCTGGGTCGAGCGCCCTGTCTGGGCGATCTGATAGCCACAGTACCTGTGCAACAGAGAGTCGGCAGGGTATACTCGAAAGCCCCTCGCTACCAACGTACCCTTGAAAGGAGTCAGTTGCATCCAAACGCTCCCTAACAAATAATAGCACCAAGCGTGAAGAACCAGACGACAGCATCCGTGCGCACTTTTGGCATTGAAGCGCCGTCTCTACGGCTGGGAAGCTAGCAGCAAGTTCGCACCGTCAGAAAACGTGCCTGAGCGACTAGGCGCGCCAAGGGTCCTGGTCCTTGCGGGCCGGCAAACCGTGCGCCGCGGCGGTCATCCACGTCTGCTGCCTTGGCTGCGAAAAAGAGCAGGGTGTCAAGCTAATGCAGTGATTATTTTGTAGAGAAACCCGAACCCGGAAAACGACAAAGGAAAAGTGTTACTGAAGCCACTATATCTAAAATAGATTTACTGTTCTTAAAATTAAGGTTTTGAAAAAGAAAGAAAAACAGTGCAAAGTACTTTGCACTTTTGCGCTGAATCCGAGAACGCTGCCCGCTTCACCATTTCGACGACAACCGACAGGACGGGAGACACGTGTATGCTTTCGCGAAGGAAAAACCCAGGCGCACGTGGCGTCGCACGGAAGCGCGTGAATGTCCCGCAAGCCCGGAGGAGCGTGCAGCACACAGAAATAGCGCGAAACAGCAAAAAATCTTCCAGGCCTATAGGCGTCTCGCAAGCTCCAGATGGATTTTGAACGAACAGCCGTTTATCCAGCCAAGACGTCTCAAGCGGCGGATAGATCGCTGTTTTTGGCGTTACATTCAAAAAAGCAGCAACGTGGAAAATCGAAGCATTTGAATGCAAAAAAACCAAAAGGCACAAGTAAGGTCGCAGAGAAAAGTACGGGGACAGGCAAATCTGGCACTTCAACGTCATAAAAAATGACGCACTTTTTGGAGTAGTGGCGGCGGCGGTAGCTCTGCCGCTTACCTGGCAGCACACCGTTCGCCAAACGCCGCCAGCGAGCACGCCAAGTAGCGACCAGTGGCGCCGGACACGGTTCAAAGAGCGTCCGGCGCCGGCGCCGGACAAAGTCCAGACAGCGTCCGGCGCCACTTTTGGACTGCGTCCGGCGCCGACGCCGGACAAAGTAGGCCCCCCCCCAGGACCCTGTCCGGGGCCACTTTTTGGACCCTGTCCGGCGCTAGTTTTTGGCCCTTTTTATAGGCCCCCACAAGAGGCCGAGACCGTGTCCGGCGCCACTTTTTGGAGGGTGTCCGGCGCCAGTTTTGGGGCGCGTTTCCGCCCTCCACGGGAAGCTCCGGACCCTCCGGGTGGGAGACTTCAATAAGCTTCGTCCTAAACCCGGACTTTGTGAAAGCTGCAGCATATCCGGAGCTTTGGAAGCCTTGCAGGGTGCGTAGCACGCTTCAGCGACCGACAGCTTGCAAAGCGTCGGGCGCTGCAGGTTCTAAGGCTCCAATGGGTCCAAACTGCTTTGAAAGCATCTCCGAAGGCGCTGAGCTTCTCAAGGCCCTGGAAGTTTCTAAAGGTTTGAGACCTTCAAGGCCCGTCAGTCGGTTGCAGGCCTTGAGCGTCTGAAGCCCCTTGAGGTCCCTGAGGCCCTGCAGACCCTCAGTGAACCTAAAGTCTCCAGACTCAGAAGCCTTTTAAGGCCCTTTGAAGTCTCTCGTCCCCTTATAGAACCTTCCAAGTATAAACTTTAGAAGGCCCTGAGCTTCTAGACCTTGCAGCCCTTCAAGACAGCTCGAGGTTCTAAGGCCCTAAGGGCTCTCAACTCCCTTGAAAACACGTCCAAAGGTCTTAAGCCCTTTAAAGCCCCGGAGGTCTCTAAGGTTCAAGCCTTGAAAGCCCGTGACTCGCTTGAGGCCCTGAGCCCCTTAACGCCTATTCAGGTCCATAAGGCCTGAAGACTCCAAGACCGCAAAGGAAACCTAAAGGAACGAAAAGCTTTGAAGTCCTTTCAAAGCACCTCGGAAGGCGCTGAGCTTCTTGAAGGCCCGTCAGTCGGTTGCAGGCCTGGAGCATCTGAAGCCCCTTGAGGTCCCTGAGGCCCTGCAGACCCTCAGTGAACCTAAAGTCTCCAGACTCAGAAGCCTTTTAAGGCCCTTTGAAGTCTCTCGTCCCCTTATAGAACCTCCCAAGTATAAACTTTAGAAGGCCCTGAGCTTCTAGCTAGACTTTGCAGCCCTTCAAGACAGCTCGAGGTTCTAAGGCCCTAAGGGCTCTCAACTCCCTTGAAAACGCGTCCAAAGGTCTTAAGCCCTTTAAAGCCCCGGAGGTCTCTAGATTCAAGCCTTGAAAGCACGTGACTCGCTTGAGGCCCTGAGCCCCTTAACGCCTATTCAGGTCCATAAGGCCTGAAGACTCCAAGACCGCAAAGGAAACCTAAAGGAACGAAAAGCTTTCAAGTCCTTTCAAAGCACCTCCGAAGGCGCTGAGCTTCTTGAAGGCCCGTCAGTCGGTTGCAGGCCTTGAGCTTCTGAAGCCCCTTGAGGTCCCTCAGGCCCTGCAGACCCTCAGTGAAGCCTAAAGTCTCCAGACTTAGAAGCCTTTTACGGCCCTTTGAAGTCTCTCGTCCCCTTAGAGAACCTTCCAAGTATAAACTTTAGAAAGCCCTGAGCTTGTAGCTAGACCTTGCAGCCCTTGAAGACAGCTCGAAGTTCTAAGGCCCTAAGGGCTCTCAACTCCCTTGAAAACGCGTCCAAAGGTCTTAAGCCCTTTAAAGCACCGGAGGTCTCTAAGGTTCAAGCCTTCAAAGCCCGTCCCTAAGGCCGGAAGACTCCAAGACCGCAAAGGAAAGCGAAAGGAACGAAAAGCTTTCAAGTCCTTTCAAAGCACCTCCGAAGGTGCTGAGCTTCTTAAGGCCCTGGAAGTGTCTAAAGTCCTTGAGACCTTGAAGGCCCGTCAGTCGGTTGCGGGCCTTGAGCTTCTGAAGCCCCTTGAGGTCCCTCAGGCCCTGCAGACCCTCAGTGAAGCCTAAAGTCTCCAGACTCAGAAGCCTTTTACGGCCCTTTGAAGTCTGTCGTCCCCTTAGAGAACCTTCCAAGTATAAACTTTAGAAGGCCCTGAGCTTCTAGCTAGACCTTGCAGCCCTTCAAGACAGCTCGAAGTTCTGAGCCCTAAGGGCTCTCAACTCCCTTGAAAACGCGTCCAAAGGTCTTAAGCCCTTTAAAGCCCCGGAGGTCTCTAAGGATCAAGCCTTCAAAGCCCGTCCCTAAGGCCGGAAGACTCCAAGACCGCAAAGGAAAGCGAAAGGAACGAAAAGCTTTCAAGTCCTTTCAAAGCACCTCCGAAGGTGCTGAGCTTCTTAAGGCCCTGGAAGTCTCTAAAGTCCTTGAGACCTTGAAAGCCCGTCAGTCGGCTGCAGGCCCTGAGCTTCTGAAGCCCCTTGAGGTCCCTCAGGCCCTGCAGACCCTGAGTGCAGCCTGAAGTCTCCAGACTCACAAGCCTTTTGAGGCTTTGCGAAGTCTCCCGTCCCCTTAGGACCTTCCAAGTAGAAACCTTAGAAGGCCCTGAGCTTCTAAGGCCTTGCAGCCTCCAAGAGGGCTCGAGGTTCTAAGGCCCTAATGGCTCTCAACTCCTTTCAAAACGCGTCCAAAGGTCTTAAGCCCTTTGAAGCCCCGGAAGTCGCGAAGGTGCAAGCCTTCAAAGCTCGTCATTCTGTTGAGGCCCTGAGCCCCTTAAAGCCTAAGCAGCTCACTAAGGCTTCAAGACCCTCAAACCGCAAATGAAAGCCAAAGGAACGAAAAGCTTTGAATTCCTTTCAAAGCACCTCTGACTATGCTGAGCTTGTTAAGGCCGTGGAAGTCTGTGAAGTCTTTCACGCCTTGCAGGACCGTCAGTCGGTTGAAGGCCTTGAGCTTCTGCAGCCCATTGAGGTCCCTCAGGCCCTGCAAACCCTCAGTGCAGCTTAAAGTCTCAGACTCAGGAGCATTTTAAAGCCCTTTGAAGTCTCTCGTCCCCTGAGGACCTTCCCAGTATAAACCTCAGAAGGCCCTGAGCTTCTAAGGCCTTGCAGCCCTTCACGACAGCTCGAGGTTCTAAGGGAAGCAGCACTGCCGAAGCGAGACGGCTCAAAGAGAACAGCAGCAGACGGCGCGTCACCTGGAGGCAAGCATGACTCCCAAGGTCAAGCCCCGACAGCCGTCGAAGGCCACGCCGAAGGCGAAGGCCAAGCCCGCGGCTGCCCGGCCAGAGCCAGAAGAGCGCCCGCCAGTCCCGCCCCGCACGCTGCGGCAGCAAGTGTGGGACACACCACGCAACCCAGCCCATAGGCCTTCGGGCCCGCACCCAGGTCGCGCAGGGGCCCTAGAGCGCGACAGAACCCGGAAGGAGTGCTTCTCTCGCAGATTTGTGAGGTCTGCGACCGCGTCAAGGGGTGCCGCTGCACGACTTGCCTCAGCTCCTACGTGCCGAGCGTGCAGGCAAGGCTGGCGCGGTCTTGCGATGCCGATTGGAACGACCGCGCGCCCAGGCGGTACAGTGGGCATGCGCCAAAGCCTGGCTGCAACAAGAGCTCAGTGCCAGGACCTCAGCCACCCGCGTAGCCAGACAGCAAGAAAGTGTTGCATCAGGCAGAGACCCGGCTGGGCGACGCCTTGCACCACGTCGCCCGGCGCTTGGGCCGGCACCCGGGTGCCATCCGGGAACGACAGGCTGCAGTGTTCAGCACTTTCCACCAGCTCGTGACCGGCGAAGCGACCGCTCGGGACTGGGCTGGACAGTTGCCGCCCGACCCGCCGCAGCCTCAGACACTGACTGCAGAATCGAAACGGAAGACGTCATGCATACCTGGCAGGTATCCCGACGTGAACCATGGGTCCAGCCACGAGGAGCGGTGCTTGCGCTTCGACATGGCCGCGGCGGCACGGACAGCAGCGAAAGCCGCGCAAGACGCGGCCACGGCGGCAAGGGCAGCGGAGGCCCGGAAGCTGGCTGCGGCCGAAGCAGGCACCGCAGAAGCAGTCGAGGCCAAGCCGAAGGCTGCGACGACAGACAAAGCCGCCAAGAAGGCCAAGGCCAAGGCTAAAGCCCGCGCAGCAGCGGCAGCGAAGGCCGAGGCACTGGCAGCCAAAAAAGCTGAGCGGCGGCAGCGCAGAGAGCAGCGGCGCGCGGCGAAAGCTAAGGAAGAGGCGTGGCCGGGGAGGTGGGGTGTGTTGCAAGGCTTGGAACTTGACTGCATACTGCTGCATATCCAAATGCTGGCAGTCTGACGACATTCACAACGCAGCAGGAAAATCTTGAACCCGGAACCAATCGAAGGACCGCCGCAAGCGCCAGAACACAGCCCGGCGCGACAAGCGGCGAGAGCTTCGTGAGGCCCGAGTCCAGCGTAAGCCGCCTGTATGAAAAGCATGCAAATTCTGAGGACCCGGCACGCGCCTGGGAGTACCTTGGCTACAAGGCTGCAGAAGCACAGCGCAAAGCGGACGCACGCTTCGCCAAGAGCCCCGACCTCAACGTCGAAGCGAGTGCAGTGGCAGAGACGGTCGTGACCGTTACATGCAAGGCTACGGCCTCACACGCTGCGACGGCAGACGTCGCGCGACCGACGACCCGTACGAACGGGTCGAGGAGCAAGGGCAGGTAGAGGCAAAAAGCGACCGCGCTCAAGGCAAGCACATACATGCAGGACAGCGCGTCCTCGGAGGCGCCAGACGACCTCGAGGTCGTGCTGGCACTAGCAGCAATGGAGGCCTGTCACGCCCGAAGCATAGTAATCCAACAAACAGTCTCCAACTCGGAAGTCGCGCTGCGGGCAGGAGTCTGCAGCACGCTCCAGGACAGACGAGGGCACGCAGGATGGCCAGAGCTGAAACTGCATGACACGCGTGAAGGTCGCCGAACTCGCAGCCCGGCGAGAACACGGATGAGGCCAGAGCGAAGGTTAGATCGGAAACAAGAGAAGCAAGACACTCTCTGAGAGGACGGCGACATGGTGGACTCTGCTGCAGGTGTGCCGGGCAGAGTCTGTAGACTACGCAGAGAAGTCACGTCCCTATGAGGCGGCCGAGCCGAGCGTTGCCGCGACATCGATCCCTTGCTGGGACGGTGTCGCGAAGAGCTCTGGGCTTGCTGTGCCTGGCACTCGGTGCTGATTCGTCACCTCAACCAGCTTCACGACATGCAACCACACGACTGAGGACCAGTGCGGCGCTCAACTGTGCCACCTGTGCTGGGGCAAGAGCCGGTGCTGCCAGCACGGGTCGGCAAAGACTTGCCGCTGCCTCGAGTGCCGGGCTCGGCGGGCAGGGCACTCAGTGCGCGAAGCAGGCACATAGAAACTGTGGGGACATAGCTTCAGCTACATGCGAGGCGCATGCAGCGCGAGCTCCTGAGGTACGTCGAAGAGCATAGAGAGAAAGAGAGAGAGAGAGAGAGGGGAGAGAAAGCGAGAAAGCGAGAGAGAGAGAGAGAGAGAGAGAAACGACAGAGAGAGAGAGTAGAAACCCTGACAGGACGTGCCGCGCCCGTTCCACGGCTGAGCGTCTCCCCCCGCTGGCACGCCCAAGGCGGCCGCGGTGTCTCACCCCTCTCGCCTCCAAGAGGTGGAGAGGGCCCCTGCCGACGTCGCCCCGGGTCATCGTCCCGGCAGGGTCCAGTAGGCATCTAGTAAAGGATGCCGAAGCGAAGAGGGCGACAGCAGTTTCAAATAGAGTAGAGCAGAACTCGTGCAGATGGAAAGCAAAGCTTTCAAGAGCTTGCTATCGCAGCAAAACCAGCGAGAGACAGGGCAGCGACGCAGCACGGCAAGGCAGGCCGGCAGGCGGGAAGGGGAGGAGGCCAGGAAAGCCAGAAAGGCAACCAAGCAAAGTCCGCAGGGGGCCTGGGGGGGCTGGGGGGGGTCTGGGGGGGCCTGGGCCCAGGGGGGGCCAGGGGGGGGGGCAGGGGGCCACGGGGGGGTTAGGGGCAGGACGGGAAATGCAAAAAAATAGTTTTTGTCCAAAGTCCCCCCTAGGACCGGCCTGGAGGCACCTAGGTCCTTGAACTCTGCTCGCTGCAAGCCCCAGGCCCCCGCTGGGGGGTGCCTTTTTGGAGGGGGGCCCAAATGGGAAAGCACCCCCAGAGCGAAGGGCTTGGGGTTTAGGGTATTTACTTTAATAGGGACCAGTACTGGTCCCGAGGAGAACCTGCTCCGGTACCGGGCCTGACGTCGGTGCTACCGTCCCCATGGCTGTGGAGAGGCGGGCAGGCGTCTTGGGTCGCTCTGCGCCATCGAGGTCGAGGGGCTTAAGCGCCGCCCACCCACAGTAGGTGGGCGGCCTATGCCGTGAGTTTAGGGTTTAGGGGTTTAGGGTCCGCCAGCGCAGCTGGCGCCCTGGGCAACCCTCATGGTTTAAACAAGGGGCTCCGGCCGTTAGCCCTAAAGCGTTCGTTGTCGCAAATCTCGTTGGCTTCCGCTCGGATGGACGGACGGACAGACGGACGGATGGACACAGACAAACCCACGGACGGACGGCGGACGGGACAGCGCGGGACGGGACGGACTCGACGGACCCGAACGGCACGGACCGGGCGCGGCCGGATGGATGGTTACGGACGCACGGACGGACGGAGACGGACGGACGGACCGCGATAGGAAAACAAAAACGACAATTGCAGAAACAGATTTGTTTTTGTGATTTCGTTCAATTACAAGGCAAACGCGATACCCAAATCAACAAAAGCCCAAAGTCGAGACAGCAAACGCCAAATTGAAAGCCGCCAAACGCTTGATTGAACGCGTGGACAGACGGATGGATGAACGGACAATCACAGGAACGGCCGGAAGGGACGGACGGACGGACGGGATGGACGGACGGATGGACGGACACGCACGGACAGACGGACGCGGGCGGACGGACGGACACGGGCGGACGGACAGGGACGGACGGACATGGGCGGACGGACGGACCACGGACGGACGGACGGACGGACATGGACGGACAGACGGACAGGGACAGACGGAGGACGCGGACGGACGGACAAGGACGGACGAGGACCGAGGGGCGGACGGACAAGGACGGAACGGAGGGAAGGGAGCGGACGGAAGGGACGAGGAGGGGGACGGACGGACGGAAGGGGACTGACGGACAGAAGGGACGGGGACGGACGGACAGACGGACGGGCGGGGACGGATGGACGGGGACGTACGGACGTACGGACGGACGAGACGGAAGGACGGAAGGACGGACGAACGGACGGACGGGGTTTGGAAGCCCAAAAACGACAGTTGCCGAATCAAATTTGTTGCGGCGACGCGTGAAAACACAGAAATGAAGATTCAAAAATCTATTTTGTTTTGGCGGGGGCGTGAGTGTTCGGGAGCGCGTGATGAGAAAGAGCGAGTGAACATGAGAGAATGAGAATCAGCGAGTGAGAAGGAGTGAAGAAGAATGGTTGAATGAAAGTGAGTGAGTGAGTGAGCGAGTGAGCGAATGAGTGAGTGAGTGAGTGAGTGAAACAAATGCTTACAAAACCTAAAACCCAAGTTGAGGAATGGTAAAAAAATAGTACGGACTTTTCTTTGCTTAAAAGACAAATTTTCTTATCAAATAGTTGGTTAATAGTTGTTCTTTTTTGTTTGCGTTTCGGTAGTAGAAGTATGAATTTCAAAGCAGCTGTCGTCCACACGGGGCTACTTGCAAGACTACATAGGTTTAAAAGTTTGAGTATATTCCAAACATAGAACAATTGATATCATTCCAATGATCTGTTCAATAAAATGAAAAGAGTGCTACGACAGAGAGTTTAGTTTCCGCCGAGGCCGGGGGCGGAAGCCACCGGCCGAGGCGGAATGGTGCAAAAAACACAGGTTTGAAAGTTTAAGTACACATGTAATAGCTTTCAAACATGCACCCTATGCGATGATGTTTATAATTTTATGTAGCATATATTGGTATCATTGATATTTGTATCTCTACTTCTGTCTACATGTATATGTTCATAGCTCTATCTATATATATATATATATATATGTGAATATAAGCCAAAATCATGGATAAATTATCTAGATTAGTATATGTTTATGGCTGCATGTTTATCGTAGTTTATTTTTGGAGTACATGTAACTGTATGTATATGTACTTGTACCAATGCTGAGATTTGTGGATGTATCTAGATCCATGAATATGTTTCTATTTGTCTCTGTATACAAAAAGCTGCCTACATATGTATATAACTGAATATCTGCATATCTGTATATCTATGTATGTATCTCCATGTCTTTATCTTTTGTATCTGTGTATGTTCTCTCTGGCTATAGGTTCATATGAAAAATTTCATGTATATATACATGCGAATATATATATATATATATATATATATATATACATATATATATATGCCTATATACCTTCGTATCTACGAATATGCATATATGTATATGTGTATATATATATATGAATATATATATATATATATGTATGTATGTATGTATGTAAGTAAGCCCGCATGTCTGTATAAAACCCTAGGTATTTACCTATCGTTCCTTTTACATGTCTCTATATATATATGTAAATACGATGTATTTTCTTCACCTCTCATATACTTTGCAAATGACGGGTCATATTGAAGATGTAGTTTTGGGACAGTGCGGATCGAAAGCTAAAGCAAGCTCAAATCCGCACCAGTTCTTCTCGAGATCATAAGAGGAACCGGGTATTGGTAAATTGAAGTAATCAGCTTTGGGGGGCCACGTTGAAGTCAATTGCGGCCACATCTAGGCATTATCATTTGTTTGTACCTATATTCGCATGTCTGAGCATCGGTACCTCGTTCTCTCTGCTTATGCGTGCATGCAGTTCCTCAAATGCGGTGAACTTCGTAGTTATCTTTACATAATTGCATGACTATATCTACATCTATGTCTGTTTCAATATCTGCTCCCATATCTATATCTTCATGGTTTTATCGATTTGAATTAGTTCATGCCTGTATGTCTTCATCTTCACTTAGATCTATATCTGCATGCAGGTCTATGTCTAAGTCTATATCTATATCTGTGCCTGTCTTATCTATATCTATACCTTTGTCTATACTTATATCTTTATCCGCATCTATATCTTAACTATATCTATATTCTATTTGCATCGATATCTATACTAGTATCTGCATCTATATCTCTGTGTGTGTCAATACTAATGTCAATATC